GATGTCACTTGGTGCAGGAACGCCACTGCTTAGGGATGCCATAAGTCAGAAATAACTTGAATAAATGATTTTCATGTGGTCACTGACAGCACAATTAAAAAAGGAAAGGAAAACACCAATCAAACTCCCTTGCTTGGAAAAATGACAACATAGGCCATGATGGAAAGAACATAAAATCTTTTGGGTATCCTTTTTTCTGCTATTATCTGATAATATCATAGAAATACTAATAGCAAGTACATTTCTATACCGCTTATCCATGCACTTACACATGCCCTAAGTGGTTTACAATTGTGGAGGCAGTGTCTCAAGGAAAATGTCCAATGTGGTTTAATACACAAGTGACCAGGCATGAAAAGATCACTGGCAGCCATAATGACACAGCACTTTCCACTAGGTGCTGTGTCATAGGAAGTGACATCAGCTGATGGTCACAAGGTGCTGGAAAGCACTGAAATGGTTGCAAAACTGTAAAGTCACCCAGGATGAGTGATAGGTGCCCAAAGGAAGAGGCAGGGACAGAAGGCCACATGGAGTTGGGAGTTGCCTCTGGACACATATGCTGGTTGATAGTGTAGATTGACAGTGGGTTGTTGTTGGATGCTTGGAGTTGTTGCTGTATATAGCCTTGTACATCGAGGAACCATGATTAAAACCTCATCTGAGAGACATCTGTCTGTACTCTTTCTGGAAGGGGAGAGGTGCTCCTTCAGCTCACAAGCTAATGCCTGCATCTGAGAAGGTGGTGACTCTAGTGCTGCACGTTGACATGGATTATCACGCACTGCGTAACCACGCTAACAACAATGTGTAAGCTAATTGCCCTCAACAAGCTGGGTACTCATTTTAGCAACCTACAGAAGGATGCAAGGCTGAGTCGACCCTGAGCCCCTGGCTGGTATTGAACTCACAACCTTGTGTTTTGTGAGTAAGTGGCTGCAATACAGGCATTTAACCACTGCACCTCCATGGCTCATCTGACTGTAGTCAAAATATGTGTCAGTACAATTTGCTGTGGAATATAAAACCAGTAACATATAATGTGCATTCTAATGGGAGAAGATTTTTCAGTAAACAAAAAGATTCTGTGTAAACAGATGAAAAATGTTTGCTTTGTTTTTTGCTTGGCTTCTTTTTCTTTTCTTTACTTTCTTGCAAAACCAGCCAAGATACACATTTCTGAAGAAAGAGGGAGGAAACACCTAAACCTTACATATATGAAGCTTCTCCCTGGGGTTTTCGGCAGTGGTTTTCCCACCCTATGATCCACCAATAATTTCTAGGAATTCCAGGAAGTAAATTTGGGACTTTTTTTGCCCTGCATAGCAAATGCTCTACCGCTCAGCAATGTAATTAATATTCATATAGTAGTATACTGTTCAAAATGCTGGATCTTATACCTAGGGACTAACTTAGTTGGCAGAAAGCAAGAATGCCTAAATATAATCTTTCTACAGTGGAACTCACTTGCAGAGGTACAGTTTCAAAAGCTGTGGGAGTTGAAATAAATAGTGATTAGATTATGATCATTGTTCCATCAGAAGCAAGTGCCCTTTTAACAGACAAAAGAGAAAAAGGAGGAAAGTGACATTTTCAGAAGATATCTATAATGTTCTATCTATAGACAAGAGCACAATCCTGTCAAGGTCTAGTACGTCAAAATCCTATTGATTTTTCACATCAGATTTAAACATATACAGTATTTAAATTTGTCCCACTGAAACAAATAGAACATAGATGGAGCTTAGCTTTCACTGGGTTGTATCCTATAGAAAACTAGTTTGACTAAGATATTGCCATTCAAAAATACAACTTGATTGTGTGTGTGGGGGGGGGGGACTACCACACAAAAATTAGTCTTATTCTTTTCTCTGCTGCCAAAATTTCCCAGGGCTGTGAGAAGAACATGTGTAGTAGTGACAGATAATTCCTTTAGGCATTTGCCAGTACTCATCTTTTTCTCTTCACTACTACAACAAGCTACAGTATGTCTGAGATCAAAATTAAGACATTTAGGGAGTAAATTATCAGGACATGGGCAACTGTGACCCAGCTCCTATTATTTTAGAAAT